ACAATAAAATAGAGAAACTTAAATCTAAAAATGACCATTCCACATTATCGTTAATAATAAATTATTTTAGAGATAAGTATCAATTATTACTGTTTTTACTATCAGTAAACAAAAAATAGCTTCACTTAAATTAACTAAAAATTATGTCAATTAAGTTTACAAATTTTTGTGACAAGAAGATAGATGAAGAAAATATTAATTACATTACTATTCCTTATACACTTTTACTCATGACTATTTTCGAATATTGTACTCATTTTTTAATAATATTTAAAAATTTATATGGTCACCATAAATGAAACCTTTTTTCAAACAAATTAATAGTTTTTGTTTAGTGTTAGTTTAGTTTTTATGGAAGTATTATGTAAAGTTTTTGAGTTCTAATCAAGTATACTAGAAAATTTTATTCTTTTCTCCTACAGTGCAATGTATAACTCAAAAAATTCTAACTTTAAAATTAAATATTTCCAAAACTGTATGATGTAACAATCTCATTTTTTACAAATCGATACAGAATTATTATTATATATACTCTGAAAAAATGCAAAAAAAAAATCTATTTTTGTTCTGACTGTCATAACCCTTTTATGTAAAGTCATTTTTTTATAAGGTCATTTAATTATTCTCATTTCTATCTTCTTTTAAGAATATGAAACTTTTAAAACTCTATTCGACTTCAAGACATGATGAACTCTCATAATACTGATATGTGACTGAATCCCAAAATTTTTAAATTAACGCTAATTATTAAAAACTTAATTGTGATTGAGAAAAAAAAACAGATTGAAAAATTTAAAATCTGAATAAGCATTTGCATTGATGAATCATTACATGGATTTGGTTTCAAAAAACGTTTCAAATGTTTTACAGCATTTAAAAAAATTAATTAAATTACCTGATGTACTATGTAAGTTGCTTCAAAAAATCATTTAATTATTGAGTATCTACGGTTGTATCAGCACGTTAATGAACCTAATTAAATTTTTCGAACTTGAAGGATTATTTTGTCCATTGGTCACTGAGAATTGATTATTCGTTACGTAATAAAATAACAAATATGTATTTAGATTTTTATTGATATTATTTATTATCTATTAGTTTATTGGTAATGACTTAGTTACAATTGCATTCCTTAAACGTGAGCGTAGGTGTTCTTTAATTCTCGCCTAAAAATCAAGATTCCGTGTTTCGTCACATTAATTTGTACCTAACAGACATAATATGCGAACAAATGCTACAAAAATTATACTGTCAGATAAAAAAATTATCACTGATCTTTTAAAAAATTTTTTTTGATTTTTTAATAACTATTTTTACATAAAGTTGTGACATATTTCTCATGTTATATGTTAATTTGTAAATATAACTTAAATTTTTTTGATGAAGCAAAAATTTCCTAAGTCCAAAATACAACTTTTCACTGAATGAGACTTTTGAGGTTGTAGTGAGGACTCTAAATCAACGGGTGGTTCACATTAAGACCTCAAAATCTTCAATGAGGATTTTGAGTATTAAAGTAGAGTTACTTTCTGTGCGGCAAATAAAACATCAAAGGATTTGAGGCTTTTGAGGTTAAAACTAGAATTTGTTTTTTGACTCGGGATTGTTGTTTTTTAAAAATTAAGGACGAAACGTCGCAAATAACTGCACAACTTCCTGGAGCAGCGGTCACAGGAGCTACTGGTAATTGTAGGGATATCTGTCGCCGACAACTTGACAACTTCCCGGAGCAGCGGTCACAGGAAAATATATCTCCTCTCTGTTATATTTTGTATTTTAAATTCCTTCGCACTCAATTTGTATGATGACTACGTTTACAATTGTCTTTCTTATAAATTATCAGAATTTATATTTATCCGTAGTTACAGATTTCCATAATTACAGATATCAACATTTATTAGTCTATATTTACAGATTTCCATATTTTAAGTTTACGAATATTAATGATTGTCTATTTTTTTATATTTCTAAATTTATAATTGTCTTTTTTTCAACTTGTCTGAATTTATTCTTTTCTTTTTGAAGTGAAACTTCTTTAGGCGCATGAGGGTAAAATTTTTACAGATGAAACGTCACGCCGGTATGCAACGGAAGTGTCGGAAAAGAGAGAGAGAGTGATCGAGACCGATTGAGAGAGAGTAAGACAGGGCGAACGTAGCATGAGCAACTAGCCGTGGAGTGAGAGTAGGGAGCAAGCGAGTGAGAAAGATTGAGAGAAAAAGTGAGACAGAGCGAACGTCGTATCACGCATAGTGCTATGGAGTGTGAGGTGGGAGAGAGCTATAGTGAGAAAGATTGAACAAGAGAGAGAGAGAATACGGGATATCGAGAAAGAATACACGCCCTATTGGTTGTGTATTCGTTTACTAGTTAATTATTATACTAATAATTGTTTCATTATTATTGAAGTAAAACTTCTTTATCGACGTATGAGAGAAATTTTATAGCAATATAAAAAAAATCGTCACGATTTTCGGTTAAAGAATCAATGAAACGCATTGTACTATTTTAGAATTTTACTGTTTAATATTTTTTTATTTTAAATTCTTCAACTATAAAATTATATTTTTTTATTTGTTTTATATTCATAAAGTTCATTTATTATTTAATATTTATTTTTTTTATTACTTAAAAATTATTTTAAAAGGGCACTATGAAAATTTATTTAGATATTTGTCTCAACACTCAAATTCTGTAATTAAGTTACTCTAAAATCTTTTGGTTTAAAATAAATCTTTTTATCTAATGTTTTTTGTCATTACTTAAGTATTTCTTATTTTAAGTATAAGTGAGTTTGCTTACGTATAATAAAACTCTCATTCATCTATTTAATCTCTTTAATGTACCTGAGCCCCCGACTAATTATGGGAATTTACCCGGGCCTTTTGCAAGAGTCAAACGAGACACTTAATGATCCTATTCGAATTATCTTTTACAATCGTTAAAAATTAAATGAAATAATACTCAATTTTTTTATATTTAATAAATATGTAAAGAAAAATTCAAATTTGACTTATTTTATGTGACTTTGTTATGAAATTTTATTGGCTTCCTCGTGAATCAGAAGTTGAAAAATAAAATTTTATTTGAAAATTTTAAGTGGTTTACGTCCGAAAAATTGTTTTTTTTTTTTTTTCTCAAAAAAGTAAGGAAAAGTAATTTTATTCACTTTATGACCGTTTTCTTCTCTCGTACCGAAAAATGACAACTTTAAAAATGAAGTAGGCTTAAAATTTACCCCTAGCTGATAAAACATCAGTTAAAAGAAAGGCCTGGCGAGCAAGTTTGCAGTTACCACCTGATCAGCAAATATTAACACCAATACAATTATTTGAATGGGCGTCCAAAAATTTGGTTAAGATAAATGTTCAATTCTCAACAACTGAAGACTACAATTCGATAAAAGAAAAATTAGAAGATCGTTTCAAAGATACGAAAACAAATACCAGCAACATAAAAAATACATAAAATTTCGCAGTTAGAAGATTGTATAATGGAAGTTGGGTCATTTTCTTTATCAGAAAAGTGCTTAAATAACAATACAATGAAGAAAAGAAGACAGTCATCAAGTAAGGAGAAATAAAAAAAAATAGATTTAATATTGAAATTAGAATCAAAGAAAAGTAAAATGTTTCATTTTAATTAATTAATATTTTCTGATCAGGAGGTAACTGCAAATTTGCTCGCGAGGCCTTTCTTTTAACTGATGTTTTATCAGCTAGGGGAAATTTTAAAGCCTACTTCATTTTGAAAGTTGTCATTTTTTGGTACGAGAGAAGAAAACGGTCATAAAGTGAATAAAATTACTTTTCCTTACTTTTATAAAAAAAAAAAGAAACAGTTTTTCGGACGATAACCACTTAAAATTTTCGAGTAAAATTTTATTTTTCAACTTCTGAAGTTTCACGAGGAAGCCAATAAAATTTTATAATAAAGTCACATAAAATAAGCCAAATTAAAAAAAAACTTTTTTTTTATTAAAAAAAAAAATTAGAAGTGATTGTCGGAACATTTTGAAACTAGTGCGGATTTTTGCAGAATTAGTTGAAGTTTTTTTAATTAAAGTAAAAACAAACAATTAAAGGGGTCCGATTTCGAGAAAATACCGGTTATTTAAAAAAAATCGAAATATTTCATAGATCCAGACTTCTGAAATTTTTTGCGTATTTTTTCTAAAAACTACACTAATGAAAAAAATTTTCGATTTTATTTGGTCTCAATCAGTCAATTTCTGAAAAAGTTCTAGCAATAAAAAAAAAAGCGGTTTTTTTCAAAAATTCGTAACTTTTTTTGGGTTGGGTAAAAAAATCTGAAATCATACCTAAAAATGTCTTTTGAAGGGGTAAAAAAAGATACAAAACTTTGAGCGAAATCGAAGGGGGTCGGGTAAAAAATTTGTCAATTTGACATGGAATGACCCATACTTAAATTAATAACAAAATTGACGTAGTGATGCTTCTGGCATTGTACTCCATTAATTCATTTCATTTTGATAATGTTTATCATGATTGTCACAATCTAATTTGAATTTAATTACTCCTGTATAACTGAATAAGTATTTATTTGTTATTTAATTTAATGTATCTATTAGCCATGGATTATTTCCCTGTTGTCAATTTTGATTACTGATAAATAAAATTCGTCGAAACCTCCCATTTGTTCAATATTGCGGACATAAATTCAAAAAAATACGATTGGAAACGCAAAAAACATGTATTTCATTTAATAAGCCAATTTAATTTCACAATAACTACTTAATCATAGAATTTAAGTTTTGTCAATGATGGCAAGTGTGTTCATATCCTTTGGTCAAAAAATTAATAAATCCAAATGGTTTATTTCAATGAATTCCTGACCTAAGAAATCCTTTCCTACATAAATAATGGTTTTTTCTCTCAGTGTTAAGTGGGAAATGAAATGCGTATTGACGTAAGCAGATCACTGATTATCAAATTTTGAAGAAATAAAGATAATTCCAATATTTGAACAAGGTAATATTAATGACTGAAGATTACGGCCAGAAACCAACGCCAACACAATTGATAACAAAACAATTAACGTCATGCCTTCAAAGGTGGTCACAGGTTCTACCTGAAAATTCATCTATGCCTTGTGGAATCAGTTATAGGTACAACCTCGTTAAAGATTGTTCACTGCAATGATAAAATGGTGATTTTAAAGTTTTAAAATAAACACGTGAATTTTAGATATTTTTATCGACCCATTTGTGATTAAATAAATTATAAAAAAAATAAAAAATTATTGATTTTTAATTTTATATACAGTAAATTAGTGATAAATTCATTTATCAAAAAAATGACGAAAAAGTTGAGAAGAAATCCTGTAGAGACTGCTAATCCTATCAGCTGGTTATTTTTTTGGTTTGTGTTTTTTATTTTTTCTTTCTATGCATCAAATTCGTGATAAAATTTAATTACAAACGTGATAACATTTAATTATTTATTTAATGCTATGATTATGAATTTATAAGACGAATGTCTTTTTTAAACTGTTAATGAATGGATAATTAATTTAAAAAATAACAATTAAAACAATGCATCTACAAATGGTTTGGTTATATAAATATAATTTTATTATTTCCAACTTATTTACATTTTATTCATTTTTTTTCATGGTAAGAATTATTGAATGTCTGCTAAATTTATAGTCATTTTAATGCTTTAAAAAAATAATGCATATGACACTGAAGTTATGTGACGCGCCCCTATATTTTAGATAAATTTAATAAATAATGTATTATTTATTAATTTATAAGAGTATTTTATTGTGAGTGCGAGAGAAAAGACAGCCGCGCGCAGCCTACTCGAGAAAAGAAAGGGAAGAGAGAGAGACGGCGAGAGCGCCGGAGACAAGCCAAGAGTAGGGGAAGCAGCCGGCAGACCCAGGAGCATAGTTCTCGCGCGCGCCGTAAGGCAGCGCGGTGTCGCGCAGACTGTCCGCGCGCAGACTCTTGCTCCAGAACTGTTAAAAGCAATTTTCTGATCACTTTTTGCCAGATCAGCTTGAGCTTCTGACGAGAGTGGTACACTTACTGAAGAAGTCTTGAGTGCTGTGTTGAGCAGCATAGGAGGTAAGAATATTACTTTCTATATAAACTGTCCTCGCAGTAGATCTTTTTGTCACCAGGCTGACCCGGGGTACCTAGGTCGCCGAATAGCCCCTATTGAACTGGTGGGGGGGGCGAGGTTGTGGTACACGACCTGTCGTTCTCGAAACGAAATTGGAGAATATAAGCTAGGAGGTTGGCGACACCTGGATGGGGAGGTACTCTCCGTCGGAACACCTAGGGGGAGATACGGCTGGGCGTCGGGGTACCTGACACGATCCCGGTATCTCTATATTGGTAACCAAGCTTCTCTTGGTTAAGAGAGGGGGCTAGGGGGAGACAGATAGGTCCGCGGTCGCGACGCGTTGTCCCGTAGGCTGCAAACTAGAAGCACGGCTTGTCAAAAAGTAGGTTACGGTTTGTCGAGAATAATTGTAAATGTATATATTAGATTTTGGGGTAAAAGTAAGATAATACGTATGTCTATGGTTTGTAATGTATGGAGTATTGAATATTGTATAGTTGTATTGTATCTTGGTTTGCAATAACGAATTTGAGTTTATTATTATTTTTATGAGATTTGGTGAATAAATTAACCTTATAGTTGGAATCTGTGTTATTATTTGGCTAATATTAGTTAGATGTAAGTTTATCTGTGTTGCGTGATCCCCATCCCGACCCTGGACACGGCGAGCTTGAGCACGGGGAAGTCGTGTTTATCACAACGAGGCTTTCAAACCTTCCGCAACGTCACAACATGATTTGTGAAATTTTAAAGGGTCCTACCGAGCTTTATTCCTGAGAATTTAAAACATTTCAGCCAGATACATTAAAAAAAATTTTTTTTTTCTACACTAGATAAAACTACATGTTCGATAAGTTTTTTTTTCTTAATGAATTTTAACAGCACCTTGTTTATGAATGAAAAAAAAAAATTAATCTAAAAAATTTAGTATTCCCGTGTTTGCTTAAGGAACAAATGTTAACCAGCAATTGATTAATTGATGAATGATTTTCAAGGTTAAAAGGTTGAAAAAGAGTAAAATAACCAAGTCATCTGTCCTCATTAACAATAAGTGATTATCAATTTTTTAACTCGCTTAATTCAACTGGTTACGTGCGGCAGTAGTATGATTGATAGTAAACCAGTTGTTCCAATAATTAACATATTCGTGATTAATAACTTACTGATATATTTTATTTACAAACTACTGTCGTAAGTTTTAAAATCAATATTTAAAACTTTTATCCTTATACGTGATGTTGAAATTAACAGACGTCTAAAATGGTTTTTAATTTAAAAAAAAATTAAATTATTGTAAAGGAAGTTTATGATTTTTATTAAAGAAATTTAATTTTAATTTAAAAAATAGATTTTTATTTTTACTATCTTCATTTTTTACCAAAATGAAAACAATAAAATAAAAGTTTGAAAAATATAAAAGTGCACGCGTCATTTTCCACAATAAAATTGATTAAAATAAAATATGAAAAATAATATAATAAAAAACAGGAAACTCTGCTATGATTAAGTGGCGCCATAATTTTAAGATGAAGAAAAAAAAATGCTATGATAAAATGTATATATAGATATACAAATACACAGTCGTATCTGAGTTTTTTATAAATAATAATTAAACGACATACGACAGTGAATTGAACGGTTATATTAATTGAGAAAGTCCTTAGTGTGTTACTTTAGATGATAAAAAAAAATTATTCCGGTACGATTATTTTTTCGAGTAATTTCCCTGCCGCATACACAGATTCATAAACACAGACACACGGACGTCCAGGAAAGATTATTTTTAATGTTATTATTTACTATGTTAAACAAAATAATTGTTATTGAAATATATTTTATGTGCCTGACAGATTATTTGACTTGATATAAGTGCACTCATATTATCCTGTAAGTGCGATATACGTTAAAAAAATTAGGAAAACGGTTGACCCTAAAGGCCATCTCTGCAACTTCCTGCTAATTCCATATCTACACGGAGAGAAATTTATAGGAATCTTTCCAAAAATTATGGGAATGGTTCCTATAATAAAATTATCATTATAGGCATTAATCCTATACTCATTATGGGAACCATACCCATAGTTTATTGGAAACGTTCCTATACAATAATGGAATAGCTTCAATATATTATGGGAATGGTTCCTATAATATTATAGGAATGGTTCCTATAATATTATGGGAATGACGCACATAATAATAGAAAAAAGTTTATTTTCTTAATAATGAAGCAATCA